TTTTTTTCATAAGAAGCTTAAATCAAGTACATTGTTTTAAAGCTAGTGTCCAACAAGAGCATCTAGAATCCGAAGAGATTAATAGCAAACGGATAAGCAACGAGCATTTTGAAATATCTTAGCTCATTGGTGGCAAATGAATGAGCCCATTGGCAAGTTGGTCAGTAATGTCACATCACTTCGAGCTGTATTTCTGAAGTTTTCATCCATTGCTTGGAAATATGATATCTTAGAAAATTTTCTGTTCGCATCATTGTTAACTATTATCTAAGTACTGGTTTGGTAGGATAGTATTACTAGCCTATGTAGAAGCTCAAGATGTCAAATCTTTGAATTATTCATCTTAAGTGCCTACTAGACTAGTATTCACTACGCTAATAACATGAATATGTTTATTCTACAAAAAAAAAACAATAGTCGAGCTCCACATAGCTAAAGAAAAAAAGAATTGTGATAATGTATCAGTGATCAGAACTAACCAATTTTGTCTTCGTCGTCCACTTCTCCGAAAATTTCAAAGGCCCCATTTTGGAATATCATCCAAGCCAAGGAGTGATTGCTACGCACAGCATACTCTTCTGAAGACATAATTGTTAAGCAGCTTTCCTTATAAGAGTATCAACGAAAAGATTTTTATGAAGTATTTTCTTAGAGATATTAAGAGGAACCAACCTGCCATGCTTATGTGGCATACAGCAAAAATTACCCAAAATATCACGAAGATAAGGAGGAACTTGCCAAGAGTTCTAACCTAAAAATATTTGCCTGGAGTAAAAATTGCTCCAAATTGCTAGCTTACCATTTTTCTCAGCATGAACGTAAGGACACTGAAAAAGTAGAAGACGCTTAAAAATCTCATCATAGAGATAGCAGCGAATAAAAATGAGATGTGAAATATGAGGTCGTTGAGCGTTGTGAGAATTGCCCAGAATCCCCTAAAAAGCAAAAAAGCAGATAGAGAGATCTCAAATCAATGATAATTGAATATGATGATGGCTGAAAACCTACACAACTTCTCCTCCATCAAAACTTGCATGAATGAGTAGAGTTGAGAGTAAAACACAGTTAACGATTATGATCATATTTCGATAGAATCCAAACAGATGCTCAGACGTCCATTCAAAGAAGCCCTATGAGTTATATAATAAGAAAGAATTCAAGTTTCAAGATCCCTACTGTTTTGAGGGTTATGGCTTTACTAAAGTCATCAATTGGAGGACTGTTGTACACAATTCTGTCTACCTACTTAGTTAGATACTTAAATGGCCTGCCTTCCCTCGTCGTGCAGGC